AGTGCGCCTGGCTGCGTTTCCGATCGATTTTAAACACAAGTCCCTGATTGGGACCAATTTTGGTTCCAGTCGGGGTACACTTTTTGGTCCAACTTTCTCCGAATTGAATTCCGTTTGCACTTTTGCGATCGGATAGTTAAACTCTATCTAATGATATAATTTTTATATTCATTCGTTATACTTTTTCCGACACCACATTTTTGGGTGTTTGACTTTAACAGAGTAAAAATTGGTTTAATTGACCTTTCTCATAAAAGGTTCTCTTAATTCATATCAATTATTCTCGTGATTTATTTCAACAAATCATTTCAATATTTACATTCTAAACAAATTCTTTATTTACTCTTGATTTGGGTCTGTACTCAGGTTCCCAATCAAGACCACACAAATAGTCCCCATATTGGATTTATCTCTATGAGACTTATCCAGATTGTGATATTGGATATCAATATATGTTTTATTTCGGCCCAAAGCCCAACAACAATTTATTTTAATCAAAACAAATTTGATTAATTGAATAATTATTCATTAATAATTCTAGGGTATATTTTGGGGCTTTACACAATAACTTTTAAATATTTAAGATTTTGATATTTATTCTGATTTTATATTCTAAATAAACTTTTTTTCAAAAATAGTTTTTTTTTGTGTATGAAAAATAACAATATTTTTTTGCAAAAGTAACAACAACAATAAGAATAATAATAATAATAATAATAATATTATTATTATTATTAGTTATTTATAACAACAAGAATTAGAATGAGAATTATATAAAAATACACAAAAAGAATTTATAAGATTGACTTACGGTCTGGGTACTATCACATCCCTATTAAGAAAGACGGACAAACGGACGATCAAGAATTGCTACTTTTTACCATGTGTTGATGATTTGTTCGATCAAAGAACCTACTTGTTAGAAGCTATAGACAGCTCAACCTTGTTGAATGAACAGATGCCTTTTTATGTACCAACTAATGAGTTATTGCTTATTGTCAAAAACACTGTTGTAGTCAGATGATCGTAGTTTTTCGGGTAGTAAACCTTCCCAGTAAAGGGTTAGTTTTCTCTCTGAGTGCCGTATCTCTCAAGAAGTGGACAAAGGGAATTAGTCTAATTACTCTAACTAGGCGAAGGTTAGGATTGATTTATGAAAGTTTTCTCAGAACGATTATAAAAAGAGTAGAGTAAAAATAATAATTTAATTTTACATAGTTTAAGTATAGATCTCAACCTAGGGTCAGGACATCATTTAGATCTCTTTTATCATATTTAATTAACAATTGGAATAGTAATTGATGGGATTAACCCGATCAGATGGCGGACTAAGAACGTAATATGGGTCAGAAAGATATAATTACTCGATAATATTCTTTGATTAAGTATGGAATTGCTTGAGTTTTCCCCCTCTACAATGGAGGGTTCTCCCCCTTTTATAGTACTTCTAATATTGCAATTAAAATTATACAAAATGGGAGAAATTCTGGAGATCATGGGGTTGTGATCCCCTCTTTTTCGGTCTCGCTCTCTTCCCATCTCGTCCATAACTTAATGATGTGGGCCACGTGTCTCGGGTCCATAACTTAATTCTAGAGATCATGGGGTTGATTTAATCCATGATTGGGCCATCTTTTTCCATTGCCACATGCGTGGTATCGGGCTCGGCCCGTTACCCCCACCTGGCCTTATACGTCTCGCGCTGTTATGGGCCTTCATTGGGCCTGGAGTCGGGTCCATCAGACCCGATATCCATCACAAGCCCCCTAGTTTTCTGGCGACGTGTCGCTAGAAAACTAATGATGAGCCGCCTTCGGTTTTTGTATTAGATTAGAAACGTCGCACTCGAGTACTCTGGGTCCATCCTTTTAACGGATATAACCCCTTCTGGTTTCGTCTTCTTCCTCCTTCGCTACCGAATCTTAACCCGACCCGAATTCTGACTGCAATTTTCCCCCAAATTTTCACTCCCTTCTCCAAAATGGCTCCTGCAAATCCCAAAACCTGGACCCACGAACCCTCTATCATTAAGGAGGATGAACTTCGAGAAATGGCCGTGCTTCTGGGCAAGGGCTTCCGGGTCCACCATTCTGATGCCGTCGGGGGGATTAGTTTATCCTGCAATCCAAACCCCCAGAAGTATATGGTCATGCAATATCACTCTGTGGAGAACGGGTTAAGATTACCCCTCCATGGTCTGCTCCGCAACCTCTGCCGTCATTTCGGATTCGCTCCTGGTCAGTTGACTGCCAATGCGCACAAGTATGTCGCCTCCTACATCTTGCGGTGCTGTGCTCTGGACAGAACCCCAACATTGGACGAATTCCTCATCCTCTTCAGTATTGGTGGGTCTTTTCCTTTTTACACCCTGTATCCCCATTCTCATGCCCCAACTTTTGAGAGGGTTGAGTTTAAGAATGACAAATGGTCCCAGCGATACTTCGTCATTGAGTTCCCGGCTCAGAGTCCCTTAGATCTGCCGGGTGTTGTTCTTCGTAGTTCTATCTCCCGGACGAAGTTCGCTACGGCACACTCGGCGGAGGAAGTGTACAACGTCTTGAGAGACAAAGGGGGTTTAATTCCACATCACTCCCTTCAAGACGCCAGGTTATACCAGAAGGCAGATTTTTACTATCCCCTGGGTCCTAACCCTGTTTCGTTTGAATGGGGCCTTCCTCTGAAAGGTCAAAATCTCCTCCCGCTGTGGAATCCGGTCCAGCCGGGTGCTCCTCCGGGGTCCAAACCCTAGGTAACTTCACTGCTTTGGCCATCCGCAAGCCGACTGTTGCCCTGGAGGCTGTCCCCATTTCTGCTATCCCTGGGCTTAGGAGGCCCACTCCGTCCCAGAAACGGCCACGAGAAGGGGTCACAGATGATGACTTCCTTCCCAAGAAGAGTAAGGGTGATGGGACTCCTGCTTCGCCGAGCCCCCTGTCTACTTCTTAAGGTACTTAGAATACCACCCTCGCTGCTGCACCCGGAGGTTTAGAGCTACCCAACCCTGATAGCTTGGACCATGAGGCAGATGAACTTCCAGACCAAGCACCACTCAAAAAACCAGCGGTGCAGCCTCAGCCTGAGGTAAACAATACCTCCCCACAAATTGCAACTGCTCCCCAAGAAGTGGAGGAAGAAGTTGAGGGGCAGAAAGAACCAAAGATTTCTTCTGCGACAGAGGAGGTTGACGTGCAGACAGAAGCGGAAACTCCCCCCTCGAAAGAGAATGAGGTTGAAGAGCAAAGGGATACGGGAGCTCCCCCAAAAAGGGAAAGAGAGCCCGAGAAACAATCAGAGCCTGAGGGACAGTGTTCTACTGCCACACCTCCAGCCCTCAATGTCCCCATCCGGCGTAAGTTCACACCGCAAACTTATCCCGCTTTCAAGGGAGGATGGGCTGGGTTCTCTCGCGGTTTGATCTCCATGCAGGCCTCCCATTGAACCATTCAAGCAAATCTAGAGAAGATGAAGGAGTCGTTAAAGGAGCCCACAATCCCTCAGGCTCGTCCCGACCTGCTTGCTCTCAATGCTCTTTACTCCATGGAGCAGGTATTCTTCCTTTTCAAGAATCTCTTTATCTCTTTCTAGTTATCTCTTCCTTGACTTCCCTTCCCCTCCCTAGGCCCAACAATCACTCCTCACCCTCACTGAGGAGTACCTGGGTGGGACATTAGGGAACTACCGGGCCGTGGTGGGCCTGAAGGAGAAGGAGTTGGCGGCCAGGGCTTTGCAACAGAAAGTTAATTCTCTGGAGTAACAAGTTCAGGCCCTTCAAGAAGAGAATGCCCGGCTTAAGAAAAATGGCTCTATGGAACTAGCAGCTGAAAGGTCCAAAGTCAAGTCCCTGCAAGAGCAAATTGCTGCTTACCAAAGGGGGACTCAAGATCTGGAAATGCAGTTCGACAGACTCCGGGCACAAATCTCCACTCTGGAATCAAAGGCCTCAGCTTCAGAAGACAAGGTGGGAAGTCTGAAAGCTGAGTTGGTTGAAAGGGAATCTCGGATCTCTGAGCTGGAGAGTTCCCTCCAGGAGGCCAAGTATGAGGGTTCCCGTCTTAACGAACTCGCGTTGAAGCACATGGAGGCGAGATTGGTTACCCTCGAGAAGCTGGGGAAAGAGAGACAGACTGCTAGCGAGCTCTAGTCAAGGATGGGTGAACTGGAGAAGGCAATTGCTGCCCATCAAGAAGAGGTTGCCACCCTGCTTGCCCGTGCTGAAGCCCTTTATGAAGAAGGGAAATTTGACATGCAACACTGCATTTATGAGGCGATCCGGAGTGGTCTTCCAGCTCACCGATCCTTGGATGATTTCGTCTCATACTATGGGTTACCTCTCCCTCTTTCTCCCCGAGATTTTCGTGTGGACCCGGGGCCTTGACTTTCCTTTTCTTCACTAACTGTTGTATTTTGCTTTGTTACATTTAAATGGTAGTAACTTGACAATCCTTGATGTATTTCCGTCCTCATAGACTCCTCTCATTCGTTGGCATTCCCCTCACTTGGGGCCCCAACACCTGAACTCTCTTCTGGGCCTTTTCTTGCCTCTGAACAATCGGTGACTTCTCCCTTGCCCAGGGAGGAGAATAACCCTCATCTCCCCCCACAAGTATCAGGGGGTGTTCTTCCGGGTCCTGGCGTGCTTCCTAACGGTTCCAGGACGGAAGTCTCTTCTGGCTGTCCTGGCACGTCTCGTCCGCAAAAGAGACGCCATCCCCACTCAGGAGCTTCTCGGTTGGTCTCTGGTGCAAGGCCTTCCTCCTAGGGTTCCCCTTCCCCTCAGCAGTCATATGGACAGCCACCTGAGGAGTGGGGGGACTATGACATGGGGGGAAATAGGCTTCCGTTTATATGCAGGGAAAAGGACGGAACCTTCCGGGATCCGCCTCCACCTTCCGTATAAGCGGAGATAGGCCTTGAGCCCTTCCCTCATGCCTTATCGTCCTCCTTGTCCGTCTTCATGTGAGTGACTGGATAGTGCCCACGGGGGGAACGACTTTCAATCCCAACACGTTGGTACCATTTCGCCTCTTTTGAATGTCATCAAGAGAGAACGGTGGGCCCTCTCCACACCTTCCCGCTCTTGGGTCCTTTTCTGGCTCAAGCATGGCAGCAAGGGCCAGCGATTGCCCTCCCCTCAGATTTCTGAGGTGCTGACTCGCCTTGTCTTTAGATTTTTCCAGTAGTAAAATAGAAGTAGATCAGGGACAGAGTTCATTACTGTAACCCAAAAGAATGTAATCTTCTGTTTGAGTTATTTAATGAAAATCTTTATCGCCCGTCTCTTTTATGTTTTGTTGTTAGATTAGGGACAAGGCCCATTACTGTAACCCAAAAGAATGTAATTTTCTGTTTGAGCTATTTAATGGAAAAACCTTTATCTCTTGTCGTTTAATATAACTATGTTGTACGTGCCGCCATCTGCATGAAGTAGAAGTCTATATTCATTTAACTCCTTACCTTCCACGGACGACATCTTTCCCAAAGCGCAGATGGGCCCAATTAACTGGCCCATGCGCTTAAGTGGCGAAAACCCCTAGTCAAACATTGGGAATCTTCGACCGCTTTATAAGCCAATCGCTTAGTCTTTCACGTATTTTAACTGCATTCATCATTTCCCAACTATCCCTTCCCCACACTATAAATGGGAGAGGATGGTTTGCTGCTTGTTCATCCCTTTCTGATTTCTTCGCCATGGCAAGTAAATCTCAGAGTAAAGTCGTTATCGACTTAACCCTTTCCGAGACATCTTCCTCAGATGATGATTTCTCCGCCTCCCCCACTCAATCCAACGACATGGCTGGGTTGAGTCCTGGCGAGTTCTCAAGACTTCATCTAGCACCTCGTCTTCCTGCACCATCTCCTCTCAGTCCACCCAGGCTTCCATCCGGGAAGATAGAGTGTGACTCTATGACCCTCCAAGACTTCGCCTTGTACCAGAGGATGCGCAGGGCTAAACTTGAGCGTTCTCTGCCGACTGTCGAGGCGGAACCTTCACGTTAAAGCCGGACTGCTTCTCCAAACTTGCTGAGGTCTCTCAATGATGGTTCTTCATTGGGAGCACCAGCTCCCCGTCCTGGGATGTGGGAAGACTATGACATACGGGAAGCTGCTAATCCAGTTGTGTGCCCCTCGTCGAAGAGAAGGAACCCATGGGAAGGGCCCCCGCCTCCTTTTTGTTGAGTGCATGGATGCAATAGGCCCTCCTTCCGCTGTGTGCCCCTCGTCGAAGACACTTTTGTATGCTGAATTCCCCAAGTTTTGAGGAAGTCTCAAAACTCTGCTTCCTCAAATTGGGTTCCATTGTCAGATATGATCTGCTTCGGGACCCCAAGCCTACAAAGTATATTGGTTCCAACGAAGTCGATCATCTGCCTTCCTGTTATCCCGGCAAGTGGTTCAGCTTCCACCCACTTGCTAAAGTAATCAATGGCCACCACTATCCACCTTGCCTGTCCAACTCCCTTTCGCAGGGCTCCCACAATATCAATTCCCCATCTTGAGAAGGGAATCACAGAGCTGATGGGCGTGTAATTCGTGGCTGGCCTCCCGGGCATATTCTGGAATTGTTGACAGGTTGGGCACTTGCGCACATACTCTTCGCAATCCTTCCTCATCGTTGGCCAGAAATATCCCTGGATAATCGCCCTTCTAGAGATAGAGTATGGACCCTGATGTGCAGCACATACTCCCTCGTGTATTTCCTGCATTAGTGCCTTTGCTTCCGCCGCCCTGAGGAAACGGAGTAAAACAACGTTATAAGATCGCTTATAGAGGACTCCATCGTGCACCTTGTAGGTGGGTGCCCGCATCCGCAGCAAACGGGCTTCTCGGGAATCCTCCGGGGCTACACCGTCTTCAATGTATTTTGCCAACCTGTCCAACCATTCCGGGGGATCAGCTGATACCCAGAACACTTCATCTCTGTTAAGACTCGGAGTTGCCAGCTCCTCAACAGTTGCTAGTTTACTTATGTACTCTGGTGATTCCGCGCTAAGCTTGGATAGAACATCAGCCTCCGCGTTCTACGCCCGGGGTATATGTTCAAGCTTAAACTCGAACCTTCCCAACATTTCCAATGATAAATCTCGATACCTTTTCATCTTCTCTTCCGTTGCTTCAAACTCCCCCGTGATTTGTCCCACCACCAGTCGGGAGTCGCTGAATACTTGAACCATAGACACTCCCAACTTGCCCAGAATCTTCAGCCCATTGATCAGGGCCTCGTATTCCGCTTCATTGTTGGATACGCGGAACGGAAATCTGATAGCGTAATAAATCCGGAAATTTTCTGGAGTGATCAAGACGATACCTGCTCCGCAAGATCGAGACCCAGAAGATCCATCGATGCTCATTACCCACCAGTCACCTTCCACTCGGACTCCAACCTGGGCTCTTGTCATTTCTCTGGCGGTGCACTCAACCTGAAAGTCGGCGAGTGCCTGCCCCTTGATTGATGGACGCGGCCTGAACTCCACATTATACTGACTGATGAAGACTGCCCACTTGGTCATCTGGGCCGATGCCGCCGAGCTTTGGGTAAGTGACGCCAAAGGCTCATTAGTGAGCAGAACAATCCGGTGAGCCTGAAAGTACGGAGTTAATCTCTTCGCCGTCCAGAAGACTTCTAACATGGCCTTCTCCGGACGGGAATACCTTAACTCCGCATCTCTCAAGGTCTTACTGACGTAGTAGACCGAATGTTGGGCTCCATTTTCTTCCATTACAATCACAGTACTGATGGCAAAATCTGCAATTGCCCAGTATAGAGTCAGGATATCCCCAGGTTCCGGCTTAGATAAAACCAGTAGACTTGCCAGATATCTTTTCAGTTCTTCAAATGCTTCGTGACATTCCTTCGTCCATTCGAAGGTCGCCCTCTTCTTGATTACCGTAAAGAATGGGTGTGCCTTCTTTACCAGCTTTGAAAGGAAACAATTCGAAGCCGCCAATCTTCCTGTCAGCCGCTGAACTTCCTTTGCTGTCCTCGGGGGTTCCATCTCCATGATGGCCCTAAATTTTTCCGAGTTTGCCTCAATCCCTTTCCAGCTAACCATGTGCCCAAGGAATTTTCCACCCTAAAAAACAAAAGTACATTTCTTCGGGTTCAATCTCAAATTTACCTTCATCATGATTTTAAAGACCTCTTCAAGGTCCCGGACATGGTCTCAGGCCTCTTTGGACTTGACAATCATGTCATCGACATATGCTTCCATGGTTCGCCCTAGGACGGCCTTGAACACTTGAGAAACCATCCGGGTATGTGTCGCCCCAGAATTTCTCAGTCCAAAGGCCATCACCAAGTAGCAGTACAGCCCTTCCGGGGTCATGAAACTCATCTTTTCAGCATCAGCCGGGTGCATCCGAATCTGATGGTAGCCACTGAAAGCGTCCATGAAGCTCATTAACTCTGATTCGATAGTCTAATCCACCATCTGGTCAATGTTGGGGAGAGGAAACGGATCCATGGGGCATGCCTTGTTCAAATATGTGTAGTCGACACACATTCTCCACGAAGGGGGATTAGGCGCCAGAACTACGTTTGCCAACCAATCCGGGTATTGCACCTCCCGGATGTGACCAATGCTCTGCAAGGTTGCTACCTCCTTCTTCACGAAATCTCTCCTTTCCTGCGACAAATGCCTCCGTTTCTGCTTCACCGGTTTAGCATCTCGCAGGACGTTAAGGCGATGAATTGCAATCCTATGATCCAGCCCTGGCATATCAGCTGGACTCCATGCAAAGACCTTCCTGAAGCTCCTAAGGACTGAGACTACTCGTGATCTAAGCTCAACCCCCAGGCCCTTGCCAATTCTGACTAACTTTCCTGGTGTGCCAGGATCCAGTTCCACTTCTTCAATGTCACCGGCAACTTTTACTATAGGACGTCTTTCCTCAGCCCTCAAGAGCTGTGCAGTCACCTCTCCCACTTGGGTATCATACTTGACAGGGTGTTTGGTTGCCTTCAAATACCACGCCCGGGACACTCTCTGAGATCCTCTGGCGATTCCAACTCCGTGGGGGGTTGGGAACTTTATGCACAGGTGACGAGGTGAAATGACACACTCTAAATCTTCCAATTCGGGTCTGCCCAGGATGATGTTTGTGTTGGAGATTATCCCCACCAGTGAACCCGGTCAGTGGAGTCTTGATGGGTGATAATTCATCCCTTGTCAAGCCAAGAGCCTTGTACGTATCCATATACATGATATTAACGGAGCTTCCCGTATCCACAAGGGTTTTATGGATTTGTAAGTCCATTATATCAATAGTAATCAATAGGGCGTCCCTATGGGGGACTCCTGTTTCTGGCAGATCAGCATTAGAAAATACAATTGGCTCAGTTTTCAGCTTCTTACCTTCTGGGACCAGCACCTTGTTGACCATCGCCGCATTGGCCCACTTCTTCTGGCTCGTGGCTGAATCTCCGCCAGTATTCCCTCCGATGATGAAGTTACACCCGTGGTGTCTCTTCTGGCGGTGCGGTGTGGGTTCTGAATCCTCCTCTTCATCTTCTAGCCCGATGTGGCGTTTTTCCCGTGCCTCAGCCTGGGCTACCTCCTTATCTCGACGCTTCCCATTCTGAGCGTTCCCGGGATTTCCCGCCTCACCATCCTGTACAAACTTCTTCAGATGGCCCCGGAAGATTAGCCTCGCCATCTCATTCTTCAAGGTATAGCAATCCTCTGTATTGTGATCGTTCTTGCGATGGTAAGCACACCATTTTCCAGTGTCCTCCACATTGCAAACCTCCTGAGAATAGTTCGGATATGTCATGAGTCCCTGCTGTGTGGCGTGGGCCATGACCTCAGCCACCGGCAACGTGAAGACTGGATTAGCATATTTGTGCTTCTCCGGGGTCCCAGGGTTTGTACCCTTTAGGCCCTCCGGGAAACCCTGCTTCTTGTTCTTGAACGGCTTCTTATTCCCCGCCTTCTCTTCTTCTTTAATAGTCTTCTCTTTCTTCTCCTCCTTTCTCTCCTCCAGGGTCACATACCTTCTGGCCCAGACCATTGCTTCTTCAAAGGTATCCGGGGGATGAGTCGTGAGATCACTATGAAGGAGACCGTCCTGCAATGCCGCCGTGAACATGGCTAACCTGGATTTGTCGTCGGTTCCTTCAACCTCCCTGGACTCTTTTCTCCATCAGATAAGGAAATTCTTTAAGGATTCTCCATGCTTCTACCGCACTAAAGCCAGATGTGTGAAATGCTTCTTGGGACAGCAGTTCCCGGCAAAATGCTCCAAGAACCGCAATCCCAATTCATCCCATGTCCGGATCGATCCGGCAGGAATGTGATTTACCCAATCTGCCACCATGCTATCTACTGTTTGCAAGAAACACCGGCACATCAATTCGTCGCTGGCATCAACGGCAATCATCACCTGGACATAGCTATTTATATGTTCCTGGGGATCCGACTCCCCATCATAACGTTTAACGAACGGAATCTTGAATCCCTGCGGGTATGGTTCCGCAAAGATCTCCGGGGCTAAGGGAGTATTCGTCCGGGTAGTGAATACTCGTCCCCTGTTTATCTTCCTCTGCATCTCCTGGATCTGCTGCCTAAGATCCTGGAATTTGCCAGCTTTCGGTACCGGCGGCCCAGACGCTGTGGCGCTGGGACCCTAACTTGGCTTTGAACTTCGTCCTCATCCAGTACCACTAATGACCGGACCGGCGCTTGGCTCCCACCGTGGCCGTTTCGCTGCCGGGGTTCGCGGTTAGAAGACGCCACCTAGCTGGCTTGGGGTCGTATCCAACCCTGGGGTGCTTTGTCCGGATTCTTCCCCAGCCTCTCACTAACGTGAGCTTTCTGGCGAGATATCCTTTCAAAGACAGTTCCCCGCGGGTTTTCGTTTCCATTGCCGACGACCTGGCTTGCAGCCTTGGCCCAATATCCATTCACCTTACTATTCCGGGTCAATTCCTCCGCCCGGCGTCCAGCAACGGCCTGTCTCTCCCTTTCGACCTCCTCTAGATCATGAAGTTCCTGGAGGATGGGAGAACTCGCAGTACGCAGGACCTGGCGGGGTTGCCCGGCAGGGATGTCCCAGGTACCGGATGGACCAGGGAGAGCCTTATCCAACCGTTCCATAATGTTGGCCATCATGTTAGCCACATTATTCAACGCTGTTTCCAACCCATTGAGTTTTCACTCCTCACCGTCGACTGGGCAGAAGCAGCGGTGTTACGTCTCGTCCTTCATCCGGCCATAATCTCACAGCCTTATCTTACAGCTTTTTCTCTCAATGAGAGCACCAATGATGGGATTAACCCGATCAGATGGCAGACTAAGAACGTAATATGGATCAGAAAGATATAATTACTCGATAATATTCTTTGATTAAGTATGGAATTGCTTGAGTTTTCCCCCTCTACAATGGAGGGTTCTCCCCCTTTTATAGTACTTCTAATATTGCAATTAAAATTATACAAAATGGGAGAAATTCTGGAGATCATGGGGTTGTGATCCCCTCTTTTTCGGTCTCGTTCTCTTCCCATCTCGTCCATAACTTAATGATGTGGGCCACGTGTCCCATTCCTTTCTTGGGCTGGGTCACCTTGATTTAATCCATGATTGGGCCGTCTTTTTCCATTGCCACACGCGTGGTATCGGGCTCGGCCCGTTACCCCCACCTGGCCTTATACGTCTCGCGCTGTTATGGGCCTTCATTGGGCCTGGAGTCGGGTCCATCAGACCCGATATCCATCAGTAATATTTCTATTATTACTCATCTATTTCTAGATTTGTACTTAATCCGTCCCACTTGAATATCATAGCCCTTTGGCATACAATCTGTTCTCAATAAATAGCTAATTAAATCTTTCGAGATTAATTAACTAAATAAGGCAAAAACAATTGACTAACCATTAAAATATTAATTTAACATTCAAAATATACAACCAAACTAGTCCGGACCCAGAGATCCGGACCCTAACTCATACTATGCAAACTTAAATTAAAACAGCATTTTATTAAATAAGGAAAACTTACAGCTTTCGTACAAGCGGAACAGAACAGATCTGGAGTCGAATCCTCTGAAAATACTTAAAAACTAATACTGAAACTAAACAACTAATATGGAGCAAAATGGAAAGGGAAACCCGAAAATGGGGTGTAGAATGGTGTGAAATGATTGAGAATCCGCGTTGTATTTATAGGCTACAAACTACGGGCGTCCAACTTTGGATGCCTGTACAACCAACATGTGTTCCGTCCAGTCGCTGGTTGCCGCGTGTCATTCTCGTGTCAGCTGTGGTTTCTTGGGTGTCCAACTACCCCGGTTGTCCAACTTTGGATGCCCAAGACCCGAATCCTGTGCCCAATCCACCTCCAATCGCAATTCCTTGCGAATTTGGGCTCGAAATGTTACGTTTGACTCCCGGACACTGAGTTCTACCTCCGAAGTATTGTGATCTTAAAAATCTGAAACTTTTTCTCCAATTTGAGACATAAAATTGAAAATTTTACTTAATTTAAATTGGAGCCCATAGTTTATTCTTCTTGAGACAAAACATAAGTTTTGTCACTAATAGACACTTTTAATGGGTAAATTTATTACTATTTCCGTGCAATAATGCTTAAAATATGTAGAATAAAATAACAACAAAATGAACTTAGCATAGTCCGATCTAACGAAATAAAGTGATGCTGACAAGACAAATCATTGTCTTGTCCATATACCCTATTGACGTGAGAGATCTCAACGTGATGACAATACAAACAAGACGTGCAGCAGTGACACCAACAGTGTATGATTGAAGGATGAATAAAATGTTTGATATTTTCATGATACATTTTGATGTTGGAAATATATATTCTTCTAACTTGAACTTGCCATGCAGCTTAGAACAATATTTATGGCTTACTTATAATGTTCATGGACAATATTATTTCAACACAAATACAACTTGGATTACGAAAGAGACATTACAAATGCGACTCTAAGTCTAAATGACAAAACATTATTAGCTCCACTAATGAATCAATCAAAAGCAAAATTTGATTCCATAATTCTCCACTTGGCCGAACAATGATATGAGAAAGATTTGTCAAATTCTTCTCTACTCAAGTGTTCAAAGTGTATTTTATTTGACACCAAAAATTAATATAAAATTAATTTTAAATCAAATAAAATACCCATGTCATTTTTAAACAAGTATAAAATATACTTCAAATAGTTTATGTCAAAATAATTATTTTCATAATTAAAACGACAAACCAAAATAAAATATTCAATATACAATATATATATATATATATATATATATATATATATATATATATATATATATATATATATAAATATATATATA